CTTGTGTCGCTTAAGTTTCGTCGGAACGAAGTTACGGAAAATTAATTAACACACGGAGACGTAACAATACGTTAGACATGTCAAGTGTCGTATAAGCATTCAACAATGTAATTGACAACAATTACACTTGTCATAAGACATTAATATTATGTTTTTAAACACTACATTAATAATCTAGTCTCTTAGGGATTTTCAAGAATTCGAAGAGTATATAATAATACTATCACAACCACACTATGTTTGTAAAATCCATTGTCGACGACGCGTTCGTTCAATTGTAATTAATTTTTCCGTTGCCTTTTCGGAGTAATGGTAGTAGTGGTAATATATTACCATAAGACAATGTAACGCCATTCTTTAATAGAAAGTTAAGTTATTACATTTCCAATAACATTCAGAGGGCTCATAAATATATAGGTTGTATTTGGCATAAGGCATTTGTATTAGGTCTGACGAGCTTTAGTTTTGTTACGACAGTGGAGGTCACGTGACGCTAGTAACACGTCATATTCTCGAAACTTCCTGAAGTCTCGAGAGGTTACTAGATATGCGGTATTCTTATATATATAAGACCGGTAGGAACTGACGGCAACAATGTAATTGATCTGCAGACAGAGAGAGACTTACGATTGAGTCGAGCACGTGAGTCGTTCGTTGTGAATTATAGCGTTTGTTTAACTTATAGTGTGACCATTGAAATTAAGTGAATTTCAAAGTTGTATTGAGAAAGAATAAACCAGTTTTATTTAAGAAAGGACTTGTATCGCTAAAGTTTCTTCGGAAATAATTTTTACGGAAAATTAACTAACGACCAAAGACGTAACAGTTTGAACGAAATGCGTCGCCAGTAATGGATATGGCGAATATAGTGTGGTTGGAATACTATAATTATAATGAATTGAATAAAGAATGTAGTGTTGTAAATTTAATAATTCTAAAATTCTTGTCTTATGACAAGTATAATTATACATATTCAAGAAAGGATTTAATATGAAATAATAATTTTAATATATTATGACATATAACCATATTAAACAAACAGTCACAAACTAGAAAAATATTAAAATCTAACTTGTCTCTATCCAATGTAT